CGCCGCTTCCCAGCAGCGGCTCCTGCGAGCGCCCGGCGCGGCCGGCTCTTAAAGGGGCCTCTGCAGGCGCTGCCCGCTGCACCCCCGGCGGCGCCCGTGCACGCTGCAGCGCCCCGGGGTGCACCACGGTATGAGCGGCACATCCCAGAGAGCCAGTGCAGCGTGCTTGGGAACAGGGGCCTGGTGCTTTGCTGCCGGCGCTTGGCATCAGCAGGGCTCCCCGCGCTTTGCAGACGGCCGGCCTGGCTCCAAGCCGCGCTCTGGACCTTGGAGCGGCCTCCAGGGCTCTCCTGGCCCAAGCAGAGCGCGCCTCGGGGCCTAGCTCCCACGTCCAGGTGTTGGAAGGGGGTAGGGCCTACGCTTGTGCCTGTCCTTCCAGGCCTAGGGGCAATCCCACTAGCTCCCCAGCACGCCCCGGCGACTGTCCTGGACCCCCAGGTTTGCCGCAGCCAAGAGGGAGCGGTTGCAAGGTGCCCACCTCAAACTCTCCAGTGCTGATTTGCAAGGAGGTTCTCAGAGCCGGCTGGCAGGGTAGCGCTGGGGCTTTGCTTTTCCTCTTTGGTCGTTTCCTTTCTGAAGACGCAAAACCTTTATGCTGAAGCACGCGTCGCAGCTTCTGCCAGGCAAGGGGGGCGCCGGAGGGGCGTTTGCGGCAATGGTGTTTGTGTTGCTTTCGAGTTCTTCGACGCACGCCCCTGTCAGCTGGCGCCGGATCGGTTTACAACCCTTCCGCACGTCTGCATGGGGAGCCGAGACGCATAAAATCACGGTGGGCCAAAATAAATCGAGAGAGCCGGTCACCCCTCTGTTTAACTAAACGAGTTGCAGAATTTGGCATGAACGTTGAGAGACCCCCAGTAAATTCAAAGGTATTGTCACAGGACGCAAACACTGGAGGAGGAAATCCTTGGGCACCCAAAATCCCAGCTAAAAGCAAAGGAAACTGCAAGGCCCCAGGTCCTTGCACAGAATAGGAAGGGCTGGAGTTTCTCCCCGTAACACAATTAAAGTTTGCAATTAAAGAAACACAAATTTAACACAACTTAAAGGGTCCCAGCACCTTGCACAGAACATGAGGGGCTGGAGTTTCTCCCAGTAACACAGTTTAAGCTAGCAATTAAAGAATTTTATTTGCAAAAATCTTGTTGGCCTAATAAAAGATACTGTCTCTACTACTAGTCCTACTAGTCCCTGACTAGTCCTACTAGTCCCTGTAACACAGGCATTAGTCTCCAACTTCTGTCCTTTTTTTTTTTTTTTATGTCTCCACCCTATGCTCTTCCTTGTTTGTGAGCCCCCAATGCTACAGTCCACCTGGATTTCATGGCAGGAGCCAGGCTCACCTCTTCATTGACGCTGCATGGGCAGAGATCCTGAGTCAGGCTCTCTCATTGGTATAAAGTGGTGTCGCTCCCTTGGGCGTGCAGCAGACACTGCCCTTCAAGGGGCCAAGGTGTCGACACGATGCATATTCAGCAGCAGCAATTTGATTTCGGCAAAGGCGCAGGACGGGGGGGGGGGGAATGTGTTTCTCTCTTTTAGCTCTGCCTCTTTCTCTGGCTGCAGGAATGAACATGCCGGTAAGATGAGCTGCGACCTGCTTGCAGCGTTCCTGGCCCTGCTCACCCAGGCTAGCGCTGGATACAAGTTGTATCATTACTTTCCACCCCTTAGGTTCAGTCTCCTCCAGTCATCTGACTTCTCTTTTCAGGATTAGACAAGGTTTTGACTGAAAGGGCCTCCGCAGAGTCTATCCCTAAGTCAGAAGCAGCACGGAAAGGAGCAGCTAGTCATAGGATTTGGCTGAGATTTAGACCCATGCTCTGTTCAAGGCATAGTGAAGTCGAGAGTTAGATGGGAAAGTGCCACAATGGGGAAGATCTGCTGTTCAAGAGTTTGCATCGTCTTGGGACAGGGCTGAAGCTGCAACTGCAACACAGGCTAGAAAACCGGCCCATCGCAGACCTCACAACTCAACAGGGTCTTTCCTCTCATTCAGGTGGGTGCTTCGCTGGAAGCATCCCTGCAAGCTGCTTGCCTTTCTCCAATAGTGAAATCCAGGTGCAATTATCACGGCTGTAATGACATGTCCACAAGCACCACAGGTCAGAACCCGCTGTTCTCAGTCATGCCAGCTCAGATCTGGCCACGCACATGCATGTGCAAAGGCCTTCCCCTCATCTCAAGCCACAACCCCTCCCACAGTGCATTAAATTGGATAGCCCCAGCACACCTTGGGTGCTTCCTGAGGTCTAATACCTATGAGCTGGCCTGGCAGAATTAATATTCTGTGAAGCAAAACTGCAGATCAGACCCTTTTCTCAAAGAGGTGATTATCCTTGAAGGGAAAGGTCTCCATTTATCAGCATGGCATTGTAGGGTGCATCTCCTGTCACTCTTCCCTCCAGTGCTGTAGCAATTTTGCACCTCTGGTATCTCCCAGGGAGGGGTTGGGGTTTTTTTGACCAAATGAATGAAATTCCATCTCCTCTCATTGTACAATGATTTATGACAAGTCGGCATTTTAGCTCTTGGGCTCTCTGGGAACATTATCATAAAACTTACCCTCAGTAGACCTACATTTCGCTGGAAATCTGCAAATCTTCCCTCCCAAGAGATTATTTCCCTCCATAATGACAACCATTTGGCCCATGCTGTCACAAAAATGCATGCCATAATCAAAATATTTACTAATGCTGGGCTGATATAAATAGCTGCAACAAGCCTACCACGAAAAGACGCCTTTGCAAAAAAAAAAAAGGAAGCTTGTCAAAAATCCAAACTTTTGAAGGACTAGCAGCGCAGGGTTAAGAGATCCAACCAGCACACGGACATGCAGCGCTTCATCTCTCAGGACCGCTGCTTTCTGCCTATGCTGCTCCCTCCCCAACAACCTTCAGGTTCCCCCGTGACGTTACTGGGCTGGATGCAAAAACTAGCAGGTGAAATCCTACCATCTGTGCTGGTTGGTGCATATACTCCCATGATCGCTTCTGGCCTTTAAAATCAGTTAACTGTATTGCGTGCTTCTGAAATACATTTTTTGGTGGGGACGAGGAAGAGGGAGGGGGCAGGAAGGGCATTTATTACCTCTGTACTGCCGGTCCCAAGCTGACAGCCCTGGTACTTGATAGAAAAGGGCCTGCTACAGTTTGGGATCTCCAGGGGCCGCCATAAAATATCTACATTAAATCTAGCTGTACAAATGCAGTTGTAGCCACTAACTGAAGTCTATGCAGAAGTGCGAAGCTGTAGGTGGCTTGCACTGATTTCTCCATAGCACTCCGCTCCTGAGCTGAAGTCGATAGCTGTTTCATCAGATAAAACGGTAATACAGCACACTTCTGAAATATCATGTCAGCAGAGGAGAGGATTTCATCGTCTGACTTCATGCTGGAGACCTGCCTTGAATTCCCTCGCTGGAGCGATTGCAATATTCAACTTCCCCGAACCCAGGCAAATGAGAAGAAACGGGGACATTTGCTCACTTGGGTGCACCCGGCTTCCTTCGGGGAAAGATATTAAATGCAAAACACAAGCCACCCTCACTTGGAAGCCACCCTCCCACTTACAGCTCCAGGGGGGAGCAATTAAGTTTAATACGAGCTGCCGCTTTTCACCGAAGACGTACTGTAATTGGCTTTATCTGAGCATCAGCCCAACAGGAATAACACGCATAAAAACCATTATGGGGGGATTTCACAGCAACCCTCAGCGAACACGGCTGACTTGTCCTGGCTAGGGTTTACACCAGGGATTTCTCCAGCTGATTAATATTCATTCTGGCCATGGCCCAAATCTAGCAGGCCTCGCTCTCGGTTCCCAAGGGGAGCTCTGCCCGAGCGTGGTGCCTTGAGGCAGCCTGCAGTGGTGAGGGGGGAGGCTGCGAGGACTTCCACAATGACAGACCGGCTCTTGAGCCCTTATTGACATTTCCACTTAATGGTCTTCCCTTTGATTTTCACATTAGTGAAGCTCATCTCTTATTTAGGGCAGGCATATCCAAGCATGCACAGTACCTGAGGCTAGAGGCAAGCCCAGCAAGCCTTGGGTGTTCATTGCTAAATGCAGCATCTTAACGATTCTCCAGCAATTAGCCGCATGGGCAAGGACTCCTCTGTTGGCTTCTGCATGGCTGTGGCGTATGCCAGATATATCACATCATCGCCGCTGGTGCCCGTAATCACGTTTACACCATTTGAAAGGCATTTCTGGACAGCTCACGGTGAGGGAAGAGGAAGATTGGGGCTTTCGCCCTGAACTGTGCAGCACAGCCTGGCTTGGGAGACTCCTACGAACGTCCCGTTGGCTTGGTTTTACATCTTTCTACATGTAAATGGCCCGAACCGGGACTGAAGCGGTAGATTGGCATCATGTGGGAGATGGAGTTCACATGCAACGCATCACTCTGTGAAGCTATAAAACAAGGGGCTGATCCTCTCTTTTAAAAAAAAAATGCTGCTGCTCCAGCTAGTTAAGCTCGGGCTTGACTTTTTGCCAGCGTAACTGCTGGTATAAAGCCCAGCCTGGATGTAACAGCGTGGTCACTCAACTCCTAAGAATCAGTCCTATTGAAGGACTAGGCCCAGCTGGGAAGAGGATAGGAGATCCCTTTAAAACTCTCACTGCTCCTTGGGACAGGCAGGACATGGGGACCGAGGAGGAGAAGATGTCTGTCCACCTTCCAACAGAAGGAAAGAGTCTGGCTTCATTTGGAGGCAGCAGATGCCCCAGTGTCCCCTACCTGCTCCCTGCACACAGCCAGCCCCTGCTATTT